TGGTTTGGGAGAAGATAGAATTCATGGGCTGGCTGGCCTTTGGATCGGGTCCCAGTGAGTGGCTATGAGCTCACTAGCCCTGTAACCAGAAGTTCCTGGGTTCGAACCTCAGTGGGATGGGTGCGTACTGTTGGTGAGTCCCGAGCTAGGACAAAACGGCTATCGAGTACTCCCTGTGGTTGGTTTTCCAATGGTTCTCTAACTGATGTCAGCTCCTGATGATTTCCTTCAACCAATCGAATCAAAAGCAAATGACAGTAGAAGTGGGAACATTTATTTCCCGATAAGAATTTAAAACAAGCAAAAAAAGTTAATAAAGCAGGATTGAATGGATCCTTCAGATTTCGGTGGAACTGCGCTTCCTCAGCTGGATGATACTCCTTACATACAGGGATATAAAATTAAGATAAAATGCATTACACGGTTCAGTGACATCAACTAAATAAACAATTAGTTATCAGTGAGGGTAAGTACTTGAATATATCAAGAATTGCGAACTAATTAATAGTGATAATAATGATAGTGCTAATAATAGCGACAGCAATAATTGATCGATAATAATATTGTTAAAACGAGTTAAGATAATGGTAATAATAAAAGATAGTTTTAAATAAATCAGATAATAAGAGGTAAAATAAAATATTATTAGTAATAATACTAACAGTTAATACGTAAAACACATTACCATAGTAGATTCAGAGTGGTCAACATTTCCTTATGTACACGGAGATCTGGTTCATAAACTCGAATTCCATAGCCTCCTCAACTGCAAGCATTTTCCTGTCTGTTGACAATGACAGTGAATGACTACTTGACAGCGCGTCTATAAGATGTTTAGCTATCAAAATTTTGGGCACTTTGACTTCACCTGTTTTCAACCACCCTTGCAAATGGTCCATCATACAAGTAGACAATCGCCTGTTTGTATGACATATGCATTTGCTTCCATAAACACACCCAAATTGATATACGCAGGTTGAAGTGTCGAGGATTGGTGACTGATTGTATAATTTCCTTTTGTTAACGGAGCTTTAGTGATTTTTTTCGCTACATTTCCCTCACCGATCCTGAGGTAGATGTGTATGCCAGAATAAATATAGGAAGCATTTACAGGGAGAATGTAGGTGTCAAGCAATTTCTTTAATTCTTTATGAGAAACATTTTTGGTTTATTGCACCATAGAAATTTAATATATGTGGGCTTAAACTTTCATGGAGAAAGATAAACTACTTACAACCTATAAGTAGTTAACGTTTTGTATGCAGTTTTAAGTTTAGCGCTTCAGTTCCATTTTGTTCTAATTTCCTCTTCATGTTCCTTCTTCATACCTGTTTTTGTAAATTTGGCTTCCCTGACGTCAGAGGTTTTCAAGGATACTTTATTACCCCTCGTTAAACATTTCATTTATTTGGAAATTTGTTTAGCGCTGAAGTTTTATGGTATTCCTTATTTTCACGAGTTGGTTTGTAAGGATTAGATTTGTTATTTACGAGTTGATCACGGATTGATATTAGTCAGGGAATGATTGAAAACCAAATGGAAGTACTGGACTGCTGTCTCATCCTATTTTGGAAATTACCGGTAGTACGAACCCACTGGGGTCCTGGGTTCAAACCCCGGTGGGTATCAGAGGTGAATTTTCTGGGAGAGAAAAGCAGAAAAAGTTATTAACTTAAGACCTAATTTCAAGATAAGATAGAGATGTATTTAAAACTTCAAATAACGGGAAACATAGCGAGTCGTTTACTATGAGGCCGACTTTTCACCTTATCCAACGATATCAGTTATTACTGACTTCTGAATTTTTTCTTACTTCAATAGGTGAATACACATTTCCCTTCAGTCTCCTGATACTGGCACAAACAGTAGCCACAGCGGTTGTAATGCTCATTTGTAATGATGGGCACTAATTCTGCCTAATCTTAAAATAACTACATTTTTCAGTGTTGAGAATTTTATCTTCCACTCCTTCATGAAGGCTACTCTCTTATTGTTCGCTAACTCTTTTAACCTATCAGGTGACTTAGAGTTTGTTACAGTCATTTAAAACTTATATACTCAGCACCATCTAAAGTGTTTTAACTGTTGTAAAAGCTCTGCTGTCAACGACCTTTCTCTGCTCTTCTTCTCGTGAGTTGTCGGTATTGCTGTTGCCGTGGTTGACGTTGCGATTAGTCATCAGTGTTATTTCTGTGTGTTTATTAGATACGTATAGTTAGCAGCTGACTAGGAGGTATCACCCGTCATACCGGATGACTTTATCAACAGAACTGAACCCACTCCGGCGTAATCGATATCTAACATTATATATATATAAATTATAACTCCTTCAATTGTGATAATTTTACTACCATGTGAAACCCGGAGTCGTACGAGCTCGCCTTGTAACGAGAAGGTCCTGGGTTCAAACCCCAGTGGAGTGGGTGGATATCGATGAAGATTAGGACGAAACAGCTGTCCAGTACTCCCAGCTGGTTTTCCAATGGTTCACTAACTGATGTCAGCTCATGATGAAATCCTCCAACCAATCGAACATAGATATCATAATTTTCTGGACAGCAATATATACTGCTTCTTGGAAAGATAAGCTGCCAAAATTGTAACCCTTGAGCATACTTTATCATCTTTAGTTAGCTCTGCTTTTGATGTTGTTATAGTGAACATTCTCATTTGTTTAGATAAGCAGTTCGAAGAATTTTTAGTATCTGTAAAAAATGAATCAAGATTTAGACGAATCAGATTACTAACATGCGAATTACGTAAAGAATACACGAAGGCGTTTAGAATGAATCACATACACATACGGTGACTTATTCGTTGTTCTAAGTCGATAACCTTGGACTTTCATCAGATTCAAATATGCTCAGCTAGCTGAAATCACCAAAATGCATGATTATGTAATTAAGGCGATCAAAATACATTTATCTAGGCTGTGAGAGATTGATCACATTCTCTTTCTGTATGCAGAAGTTCGGTTAGAAACGCTTGATTTCAATCCTTTCGGCAAATCATCAGTAATAATTTGAAGGATTTGAAGATGTAATATACATTGTTGATGGCTTGAATTGAAAATGGTACTTAAATTTTCGATGCCTTAATTTGTAACATTTTCTTTGCTGTCGTTCTAACACTGAAGTATATTATTTCTATTCTTTGATAACTCTAGTAATTCCAGGCAGTTTGCAGCTGATGAGAACCTATGAGGCGAAGTGATGTCACTCAATAATAGACTCATCGGTATCATTTCTCAACATTGATATATATGTATATATATATATATATATTCTGTATAGTTTCGGTATAAACCTGTGTGTTTTAAGCTGAAAAGCTTAGAATTACTTTAGCAAAGACCTCACTAATGGCTTTCTATTGTGCTTTTTGAACCATAGTAACCACCCATTTACTTGACCACGACAACTGGCTAGATTCACATGTGGTTTGATTAAAACAAGGATATTTCTGTGTCGGTACTTCAGCGGAAGAATGTTCGTTAAATGCGCATGTAGTCTGCGGTTCGATCCCAGGCCGATGAACTCCTAATCCAAGCACAGTTGGTAGTAAGCCTGGTAAAGAGAGAAGACTAGGAGTGAGGTTAACAACCTTACCGAGTGAAAACAAGAATAAGACCAGTGCTACTGCCACATGTCAAGGAATCCGTGATAGAAAACCCAGTAAAACTGTTGAAATGAATATAGGAGCAAAAGAAGACTGTCCAATATTATCAGCGATGATATTCCTAATTGTGGTGAATTGGAGAGAGAAGACAGGAATACGCTGAACGAATAAGAAGACTCTAGAAGATCTAGATTTCATATGTGGATGATTTATGTTTAATGTTGCACAAACTCGAAGGCTTACTACAGGCGAAAACCAACAGAAGTAGGAACAACAAAGACAAGATTTCCAGTGAAGATAGACAAGACGGTGGAAGATGAAAATAACCAGCCAACAAAAGATATCAGTCAATATCAGCAGAAGAAATCTGAAAGAGGTCACTACCTTCTCTTATCTTGGAAACAACGTTTCAACCACATCCAGTTGAAGAGTACTAATTGGGACGAAATGCACATCCTGGTGGATTCCACTGCCAGTCACCATCCACCAATTTAATCAATCTACTTTATTGTTTTCAATAGAAGAATAGGTATTTTTCATAAAAGCGACCATGTAGTTTTAGACATTGTTCTGAGGGTGAAAAATCAAAACATAGACGAATGCAAGCGAGATGCAAAAAAGTAAACAGAATAATTGAGCTTTACAGGAGAGAGTGGGTCAACAGTGATTGTTAAGCCTTCTTAACTTCTGTGGGATTTTCCTTAAGTAGCACTGCTAGTTCATCTAAACAGCATGCTAAGACAACAAACTAAACACTTGGTGTAAGACACATTAAAAGATATCCAGTACAGTGCTACAGGAGGTCGGTCGCGAACCTAAATAGCTCAGTGGTAACATCTCTGACTGCAGCGCTCACTTGGTGACGCCGGTTTGAATCTCCTCATAAGGGACATGAGTTCCTTCAAGGTTGCAGATACGCCTTGCTGACTGACTGGTGAGTGCCAACTAGCACGAAACCTAGGTCAGTCAGGCAAGGCTTCCTGTGGTCGACTGCCTCCAATCAGCAACTATCAACGATTCAAAGTGTACCGTTATGGCGAGCCACCTAGTGGCATGGTGGCCACATTGCAAGCTTGACTGATAAAATTCAGTCTGCACCGAAGATAGAACTAGGCTTACCCACACACGCATCACACTAGTTACCGACTAGTGTACAATCAAAAACTACCCGCTTGTAATCGTTCCTTTGCATAACTTCTAAATGTGATTATTATGTCTATAAATAGATAAGTTCAGATAGGATTGTCTTTTGTCGAAACTGTATGTAATTAATCAATCAACCATCATTTAAATTATTCAACAATCAATCAATAAATAAAAATAAATCATAATCATCCCTTATCATTCCTTATCTTACATTTAATAGTTAAATCACTGACTACAAAATGTCCGACGGTACACAACTAACAATTGTCTATCGTCCATTTAAAAAATTTGAAGACTTTTTTGAACACGGACGTCCACTAATAGATCCTAAACGTCCAAGATTATATTTTTCAAGAAAATTTGACTTCCTACTAATTCTTTGCATCATTGCCAGTCTTATACTTTGGTTGGCACATATCGCTTATGTGATAGTCCATAGGCCAATAGTACCAACACCGTCAAATCAAGTAATCTCCCAGTGTGCAGTTTACACCGGTGAATGGAATTCACATGAAACAGTATTACGTTACTGGTCTGTTCCGTATGCTGTACCGCCAATCATCGGGAAAGAACAATTATTTCAAGAAGTATTAAATGACATCATTGAAAAGCATCATTTACAATCGAAAGATTTACGATGGCATCCAACCTATTCTACTGGTGACGATGAATACTGTTTTCTAACATTTGATGATCGATGTACATTTCAAAATGCCCGGTGGTTTTGTAATATGCATAAACCGACAAATCGTAAACATGCATGCATAGAACTTGATTATGAGAATAATATTAAAGAGGGGACTTCAGAGAATTGTCTACACATGGATATATCAACACCCCCATTCAGCGGCAAATTGTTGCCAGTGATTATTGTATTAACTGGTTTCAAATTTATTCGTAATCCAATCAATCCATTGAATGAACAAGAAACTGCCTATATTCCGAGTGATTTGGCTGTAGTGAATTCTGAAGCTGTCTGGGTAAATGCTCGTTATCGACTCGGTCCATTAGGTGTATTTTATGATTATGATAAATTAGGAAAAGGGGGTGAAAAAAACGTTGATGTCACTTATTTTCTACTGCACGATTTAATGGCTATCATGAATTGGGTACAAAATAATATTGATAGATATGGAGGGGATAAGACGAAGGTGACTTTATTATGTCATGGATCAGGTGCAACCACGGCATTAGCGCTAATCCGACTACAATCAACATTAGCATCATCGGGTTGGTTTCAAGGTGTTTGGTTAGCTAGTGGTTCAGTTAACTGGCATTTTGATCAATCACAAAAGAATCCTGAAAAGTTTCTGCCTAAAGCTGTTTTAAGAAAGTTATGTCCTGGTGAATCGAATCCGATGGAATACAATAGTCGTCTTGTACAATGTCTTATAAAGTCGAATAAATTGAAAACTGAAGATTTAATGAAACTTCTTCATGAATTTTATGATGATAAATCTATCCTTGCTAGTGCGTTACAGTTGAAAAATTCTGATAATTCTCTATGGTTTATGCCGTCGTACATGAAAAGGGAAGATGAACCAATCAATTGGAATGAGACAATTTTACAGGAGGTTTTTACGCAAGGTAAACTGTTTTCATTACTGTCTAATTAGTTATGCTGTCAACTTGCTGTTAACATGCCACTTTTGTAGGAAAAATTTGCAGGGATCTCAGAAACTTTTTGACTGGCCCTACTTTCTTGTATATAATGCTACTCGTGCAAATAATCAATGTGAATGGTACAGTACTGTGCTGTATTTTGCATAGATTCAGAAGATTAAACCTTTAATCAATAGTAATTAGCTTAAAATTAAAGTCAGTGAAAAATTTCCTCGAAATTACCCATATTTCATTTAAAATATTGATAGAAACACCCTTAAAAATATTTTTCTTATATTATTATTATTGTTCCCTTGGGTTCCTAATGGAACATTCACGTCTGTCTTCTGCTGTACTTTTCACCTGAATCCATGTTAATCCATACTGTTTCAGTTCCTCTTCACACGATCTCCTCTATGTCACCCTTGGACGTCCCACTCGCTGCTTCCCTTGCGGGTTCCACTCGAGCGATGGCCTGACGCGCGCTGTCACCCAGTGGCCTTCTCAGCGAGTGTCCAATCCAACTTCAATTTCTCCTACATAATTGTTGAGCGATTGTTTCTTGCCTTTTTTGTTCCCATACCTTCTTGTTGGTGATTCTTTCCTGCCATCTGATCTTGAGTATAGAGCGAAGACAGTTGCTGATAAAGGTCTGCAACAGGCTGTTGGAAATATTCTTTGTAGCCCACCAAGTTTCTAATCCGTATAGAAGAAGTGACTTGACGTTTGTATTGAAAATCCGGATTTTGTTGTTGATGCTGAGTGACAAAGATTTCCAGATTGGTTTCAGGTTGATGAATGTGTTTCTCGCCTTCCCGATTCTCGATTTGACATCCTCGTCCGTTCCATGTGCCTGTAGTTGAGACAATGCTCCCTAGATAAGTGAAAGAAGTAACCTCTTTCAAATACCTCCCGTTGGTGGTGATTGGCGCTGGATGTTGCTGCTGTTGTTGTTGTTGGTTGGTTGGTTATTTTCATAACCTCCGTCTTGTCTATCTATGTTCACGTGGAGTCCTGTCTTCTCTGGCTGCTTCTTCGACCAGTTTGTCGCTTTTCGCTTGTAAGTCTTCGATTTTGTGTTGCATCAAACATAAATCATCCACGCGCGAAATCCAGGTCTTCTAGGTTCTTCACGTCGGTCAGGACAGGATATCCCTGTCTTCTGGTTTCCCACTGTCTGACGCATAATCCAGTCCACCACGATTAGGAATATCATTGGTGATAATAAGCACCCTTGTCTGACTTCTGTGTTTACTCCAAACGCCTGGCTGAGTTTTCCGTTGTGGATCACTTGACATGTGCGGTTGTCGTACAGCTGTTGAATAAGGTTGATGAATATTTGGGTACGCCGTAGTACTCGAGTAGTCTCCAAATTACTTCGCGGTCAACGCTGTCGAAGGCCTTCTCAAAGTCTATAAAGTTGAGGTAGAGTCATACATTATTGTGAAAAAATATGGTTTGCGCCTCATGTCGTTGCGTGCTCTCGTTTAAGTAGTGCGGGCTAGAAAATTACGTAGCTGTCGTATAATAAGTTATTGGTGTAGTCATGTGGTATTCGTGATCATCGCATCTGTGTCCAACCCGGTATCCCTATTCCGAAACACAATAAATTTGTTCTTCAAAAACTGAAGCCACCTGGTCAAATGGCTTATCTCAGCTCTTTTAAATACTACGATCTTGGTATTTTGTCCCACCCATAGAACACACAATTACGGACTAGTGGTAAGTAGGTGAGAACCTCACGTTTTTATGAATGATGAAATAAACAGACAAGCCAATTACTGATCTGATCATGAGTCGACGTCAGTTAGAGAACCATTGGAAAACAAACAGCGAGTAGTGAACAGTTGTTTTGTTCAACTTCGTAACTCCCCAGTAGTACTCATACACTGGGGTCCGAACCCAGGACTTCCAGTTACAGGGTGAGCCTGAAGACCAACCAGTCACTGAGACGCTACCCGATCGCCTATGAAGGTCCTGGGTTTGAACCCCAATGGGTGGGTGCTGTGGCAGAGTCCCAAACTGGGAAAAAACAGCTGTCCAGTACTTCCGAATTTTCCAGGAGTCCTCTAACTCATGATCAATCTTGGCATACTAACACTTGATAAATCATGTTCTAACCCAAGTTAGGTACCTTTACCAGCCAAGGTAAAGGATACCTACCAAGGTGCGCGCACTCACATGAGGGACCATGAGGTGACTAATGAGAAAATAGCCGCTTATTTACAAGAAATATACACAAAATACTAATAATGAAACAAATTTCAGAAAGCATATTTTTTTCCTAACGCGACCCTAAAATACTCCCCAATTAAGTTAAACCGGTTTCTGTAAATATATTCACGGAGAGGACTAAAGATGGCTTCTTTTTATGTGCCATTTATCACTCATATCCTGTTTTTAAGTTTTCTCTAATAGTCACTCTAACCTTAACTCTAATCCTAACCCTAAAGTGTTATTAACCAATTATCCAAACAGTACTTAAAAATGATACTGGGATGAAATTCGCACCACAATCCATGCACAGCGTTCATAATGGTGCTGTTATAATGGTAGGTTCTGTGATCCAATGAATGGTATGCATTGAAGTTCATTGGTGCTTTCACATTCCATGGTCGTTATCCATCATATCCGAGTTAAATTCCCAAAATTGTCATTCATACCCTACCTGGAAATTTTTTATTTTAGAGCTTCACTCGAAATGAGCGAGACTACGGAGAAGCCAAGTGTTAAAGACATGAAGTCTGTTCAGCTCATTCACTTTGCCATTCAGGCTAAACAGAAGAGCAGATTATTAAATATCCTACTAATGCTAAAGGCGAAGAAATCTGACGAGTGTCACACAAGCCTTTCGCAACAGCATCAAGATTTCGTCAGTAACTAAACAGCTTATCTTGACTGAACACTAGCTAGCAACTAGCATCATGTGTCTGGTTCCTTGTTCGGTGCAGGTTGAATTCTATCAAGAATTTCATACAATGATTCCCTTTTATAAATTTGCACAAAGAAAGAAGAAACATAGGCGCAGAATAATCTGAATGCATTTCATTTCGTCGGTTCTCATCAGCTGCGTACAGCCTGAATTCTTTATTAAAATAAAAAGTGAATGACACATCGAAATTTAAGATTGATAACTCCAAGAGGGATGTGATGGATTCGGCAGAAAAGAAAGTCACAAAAGTACTCAGAGAGCTATTGAAAAAGAAAGTGATTGACAATCATACCAACAATGAGTTAAAACCCACGGGGTCTCGTCTATCATATATGTATGATCTGCCAAAGATACACAAAGATAATCGCCCATTGAGACCAATACTTTCAATGGTGAATTCACCCTTTCACAAAGTTGCTCGCTAGTTAGCCGATTGGTTAGAACCTGTCAGACAACGTCTAGCTAAACATACTCTAAAAGACTCGTTCCAATTTGTTGAAGAGGTGAATCAACTCAATGTACATGACAAGATCATGGTTTCCTTCAATGTGACTTCTCTCTTCACGCAGATCCCTTTGCATGAGACATTAGACATCATCTGTCAACACTCTGATCTTCTTTCTCTACCAAAACTGGAATTTAAGCAACTTCTCCTTTACGTACTAATGATATACAGTTCCAGTTTGACAACAAAATGAATCGCCAGGTTGATGGTGTGTCAATGGGGAGTCCACTGGGTTCGATATTAGCTGATGTCTTTATGGCCAGTCTGGAAAATACAAAGCTCAAGTGTGCAATTGGCGAAGCAACAGCCTACTATAGATACGCTGATGACACATTTATTGTATGCAATGATTTGAATCACGCTTCACCTCTATTAGACTCTTTCAACAATGTACACAAAAGTATCATTTTCACGATGGAGCATCAAGATGATGAAAAATTCCATTTTTTGGACGTAAAGTTGGAGAAAAATACGACGGGTTACTCGAAAGATCTGTATATCGTAAAGACACATGGAGTGGTCTTTACTTGAACTTCAACAGCTTCTGCCCAGTGAGATACAAACGAACGCTGGTGAAAACGCTTTTCTCTAGAGCAAAGAGAATATGTTCAGCAAACAAACTAGACAGTGAATTAATGCTTCTTGAAAAATGCTTGAAAGAAAATGGTTACCCACAAAGTTTCATTAATAAATATGGCAAGAATGAACTCAAGAAGCTTGATACAGCTACAACCAGTAAGAAGCCTATTTTCATCAAACTTGACTACAAGGGCGACGACATTATGAGAATGGAAAATAAAAGATTGAACTCAACCCTGTCTAGGACATACCCTACAGCGTTATTAATCTCTCTATCCTGAACAACCTCCTCACTGGTGCAGTCAAAGATTGACAAGTACCCCTCACATGTTACCTCCAACTGTGTATACCAATTCACATGTATCTGCGGGAGCAGTTACATTGGAAGAACAGAGAGGAGGACCTACGTCAGATTGTTCGAACATGTACCAAGGAGCCTCCGGTTAAAGGGACCGGACTGTTTAAGCTCTTCAATCGCAAAACACCTGATTGACACAGGACAGCACTGAGTAGATGTGCTGGAATCATTCAAAATAATTAAAAGACAAAGTACCTCAAGTCTTCTCAGGTTTGCTGAAGCTATGGCAATAAAACGATTGAAGCCTGACTTATGTGGCCAAAAAGAATCCGTTGTTGGAATTCAGTTACCCTGGTGACTCACTTCTTAGTAACTCTTTGTTTTCTAATTTTGTTAACTTATTTTTTAACTCCCCCTCCCCTTTATGTTTCGCTTCACTCTCTTAAGAGATAATTTTTCTTGATCTTCTGAGTTTTGCTCACTGTATTATATCATCAACTTCTCACCTGACGTCAAGTGCACCGAAATTTTGATCTTCTCTTATCTAGTTGCGCAACTAGTACTAATTTTCTTTTGTTAACACCCCAAAAATACAACTGTTAATTTTTTCAGGAAACTTCTCTCTAACAAGATATATATATGTCGTAACACTTTAGACACCTTGTAAAACACAGCGCCTTACTTTACTATGACGCTCTGACAATATGCTTGCTAATGGACAAAAGTTTGTTAAAATTGTACACTGTTTTACTTTATCAAAGAATTCAGGTTGTACGCAGCTGATGAGAACCGACGAAATAAAATGGATCCAGATTATTCTGCGCCAATATTTCTTCTTTCTATGTTTAAATTCTATCAGTAAAGTTTACAATGTGGTCAAACGCCAGTCCAAATGGCTCAGTGGTAACATCTCTTTCTGCAATATACTAGGTGACACGTACAGGTTTGAATTTCACAAAGAGATATAAGTTTCTTAAAGACTGTAGATACGTCTTACTGACTCCTGAGTTCTTACAAGCATGAGATCGAGGTCACATAAGGCTTCCTGCCGATATCCTTCAACCAACTAATAAAAATACCTTATTACTACTGTGGTGAGAGCTGGATGCTAGGCAAAATTGGTAGACAGCAATTTACGTCAATGTTTATGTCCTCAATATTGGTCGTGAGAAAAATATAAACAAAGACTGATTCAACAACCAATCACAACAGACTTCGCGTAGGTGGATACATATAGCATATAGATGATCTGACATTCAAGAAACAACCACAAAGAGATGAAAGATTAACTCTCAATGAGAAACAACCAATCAGAAGACTGTGTTTGTTTGCTAACAATAATCTATAATAATGTACATGAAAAGCCATAAATATGTGTTGATTTCCTTAATAAACGATCCGTTGCCTGGCCCTTGTCTTCTGTTGTTACACTAATAGTTATCTCGGTATTATGATTATCTTAAATTCTTGCAAAGAGAAACTTTTAATTGAACTTTATTCTACTCGCTTTGCTTAGGGAATCACTTCTGTTTTTTGTTTTCTTTTGTTTTTCTTTTATTCATTTACGTTCCCAGTGAAACATTGGGTGGCTTCAAGCTAGGGCCTTGAAGTTTCTGTAGCAGTGGTGTTTATTTTTACGGGATGGGATTGCTAGCCTCATGCCCAACATCCCCTCTTTACCAGTCCTATTTTTGATTTAGCGAGGTAAAGGAGAGCGTCGGTGGCCGGGGATCGAACCTCGGACCACCTGCATGGCTGTACCACCAACACACTCCGTTTAATTCATGAAAAATTTCCATTCGAACATTAGTAGACAGAAGACAATTGGTTCAGCGAAGAGTCTCTTTTTGGCGAATTCATTTTCAGAGCTGTACAATCGCAAATATATATGGTTGTTTTGTACGTGTGTCTACATTAAATATGTCAAACGAAATTACAATTATTAAGTTCAGGTGAATTGAATGTTTATATAAGAGGGTAGTAACAAAAGTGATGAGTGGTCACAAACGATTGTAAAAGAAGAGTTACGTAATAACATGAATAGTTTGATGAAAGAGTTGTACTCAGGGTGTACATGGAGACAAAATATACGGAATTACACAAGAGTTTAAGTAGAAAAATAAGCATACAAACAGAAGTTAAGTCAAATCAACAGAGTTTTTACCATGAGAGTTTTAGCTTTTGCTGTAGTAGTCCATGTTTCTTTATTCATATACGTATTTATATACAATATATTTTGTGTTTGCCATTTAGACTATACTACTGGAAAAAATTCTTGGTTCAAAGGTGTTGTTTTCTCATCAATGGAGAATGAATTCAATGGTCTCTATGGGAGTGATAAATATGCAAGTGTAGAAGCATCAAATGATATAACACAACTAGAAAATGATCTACTTACTATCGGTTTCAATAAAAGCACCTTATCACAGTTATCACATAGAGTAAATAAAAAACGTGGTGATATCTTATTAAATATACTATCTGCATTAAAATATACATGTCCACAAGCATGGCTGCTAAACACTTGGCGTAATTATACCAAACTTTATTTAAATGCTACCCGCTTTTATCATATCTACAATACAGAATCACCAAGTTCACCTTATACAAAAGTACCTGGAGCATTAAATTCTACAGCAAGAAATAATCCCTTTCATGGATTAGATATGCTTATTTTAACGGGAAATAGTGATGAATACGGGTTAATTTCACCGTATTACAAGAGTACACTACAGAATGCTTTCTATAATTTTATTCATTATGGTACATTTGATAGTAATTGTGAAATTCAGGAATCTTTTGGTATGTTTTCGTTTATTTTATTTTGTTGTTTGTTGTTTTTACAATATTTTAAAAAGCTTTTGTAATTCTTAATATGTCTAATTTCACTACTTATGTTGCCCTGTAAGTCAAGAAGACACTTAAAACAATTTGTCCCTTTAGTAAATTTGAATAGCGTTATAAGAAGACGGAGATTATCTGAAAAACGATGTGATGTATTTCCGCTACACATTTCGAACAATCTGATCATACATTTACTTGTCAAGTTGATACACATATGAAAATGTTAAATTAAACAAAGTGACAAATAAAGGATTTAAGAATGATTAACACGTTTGATAAGGATTCAACGTATTTGTACGGTTGATGTTATAGACAAAGAAAACGAAATATTGATGGACACTCTTGTTGAAAACGGATATCCTTTAAAATTTTTAAACAGGTGTAGAAGTCAATTAGTCTCTAAACCTACAATCCATACCGCCCCTAAGAAAAATGTTTTCATCAAATTACCATATAACGGAGGAATAAACAGAAGGAGTATGAGACAAAGGTTGAATTCGATCATCCGTAGAACCTGTTATGCAGCCCAGCTTGTCACTGTCGAAAAAGCTAAAAAATATGCTTCACTGCAAACCTCAAAAGTGCACAAGTGATTATATCACATCCCACACAATTTACCAATTTTCGTGTGTGTGGACATACATATATAGGGAGGAGTAATTGCGCGTTGCACGTGAGGGTGGGAGAGCATATCCCAAAATGGTTAGAAAAACAGATGAATTGTGACAAGCCAATAGATGCAGGTGTCAGATTACCAACTTCGTCTATAGCAAACATTTAATCTAGATGAACCATAAGGTTGATGTTAATTCAGCCTTTAAGGTCATCTATAAAAACGGTCAAGGGAGCTTACTGAAATACGCTGAGGCTATAGCTATTCATAAACTTAAGCCCCTCCTCCTGTGTTTTTAAAAACAGTTTGTTATTACTCTTAACCTACTTTGGTAATCCTTGTTTGATTGGATTACCAAACGTAGTGTTAATAATTCTTAAATCTTTTTTTGTCACTTTGTTTAATTTAACATTTTCATATATATATCGACATGACAAGTAAATGTGTGATCAGATTGTTCGAAATGTATAGCGCGAATACATCACATCGTTTTTCAGATAATCTCCGTCTTCTTATAACGCTATCCAAAGAAGATACTTAATAATAATAACAATAATATTCATGAAATGAGGATCAGGAAAGCAAGGCGGGCTTTCATTACTCTCACCCAGTCTGTGTGGAGGTCAACAACACTCAGCATGAAAATGAAAATAAGATCCAGATTCTCAACCTTAGTGTGAATTCAGTCAGTGCTACTATACGGATAAGAGACTTGGCGCCGCGCCAAGTCACGAAGGCCACTTTGAATAAACTACACACCTTCATCAACAGCTGTCTTCACTCAATACTGCTCAAGATCAGATGGCTGGCCGAAAAAGATCACCAACAAGGAGGGATCTCTGCCAATGAGCGAACCAACCCAACAGGAACCATATGTGCAACAAATATGCAGGAAGAAATGGAGGTGGATCAGTTGGCCATACTCTGAGAAAACAAACCATCAAGTGAGTGACATAACTTGCCAGGCCATCGCTGGAGTGGGACCCGGATAGGAAGCAAAGAGTTGGTCAACAATGCGAGGTTGACATGGAGGAGGTCATGTGGGCAGACGTGGAGTCAGATAAAAACGTTAGCAGAGAACCGAACGCAATGGAGATTTGCGGCTAAAGCCCTATGTTCCTCGAGGAATTAAAGGAAACAATAATAATCTCTGCTTTTCATATTCAAAGGAAATATTGAAAGTATTGTTTTCACCAAAAGGTTAGTCTAAACAGAACTATCTGATGATTTAGCTACATAGTAGGTTGCTTGTCTTAGTGGTGTCTTCACTTTTTCCAAAAAGAACAAACTGAAAATTTATTTTCAAGAGCTTATTTGCCGGCATTTGATTTGTTTTTCAAGTTTGATCATGGATTGACATCAGTTACAAAAGTATTAAAAACTAACAAGGAGTACTGGAAAGCCAACTTTTTTTGTCCTACACTGGTAACCACTGGAAATGCACATCTACCACCGAGATTTGAACCCATAACCTTCCGATTACAAGGCGAGCTCGTAGAATATTAAGCCGCCCATAAATATAAACGCTTTAAAACAAAAATTCCAACCGTGTTACGACTGATTCCATATAGTGAATGATCAGAACTCTAAGTATAACAGATCTGTGATACAGACTAAATCTTTTCTAAAGTACTACATTTATCTCCACATACTATTTTGTATTTTCCCTCCCTGACCTAGGACCTTGGAACCCTATTGGTTGTTGACTGATTTAACTTATTAATATAATTGGTGTCTCTCAAGGTCATTTAGGGTGTGAATATACGCAGCTGCTGCCAACCAATTTCGCCGTTGATACAAGACAGTAAAAGCTCTTTACGTCAACAGTTTGAGCAAAGTTAAACTTCAAGCACCTATAACTACCAATCAGCAAGTGACCTCGAAAGCACCAATCACGTGAATGAGGCACTTTTGTGTAAAGAATACATATATTTATGAAAAAAGTGCATAAAAATTGTAGAATAGTGTTACAGGGGATACCCTGCTCTCCCATGTGATAAAAATAGCTCTCAGTTTTAGGTTGGAGTATCAACAGAGTATAATTCCATTGTGGGTAAAATTTATTTTGATAAAGTCTATTAGTGTAATACAGTAATATTTACTGGGCAATAAGTTGTACTCGAAACGTGGTCATCAGTAAATACTACTGTATAACACTGTGAGACTTTATCAAAATAAATTTTACCCACAATGAAATTATACTCTACCACCACGGTGCACAAGTTCTATTCTTATATCAACAGAGAAATTTAAACACATTTTATGCATGTAATCATTTAGGTCTTCTAACCCCAACAACAACCCCAATCTTTCCTGAACCTAACCCTAACGTGAAAATATCCCTAAACTAACTGTAATCTAACTCGAACCAACCATAATGTCGCCTTTGTTAGGTTAACCTAACCATAACTTGTCCTTGACTTAAAGCGTAACTTAATCTTTCCCAAACTTGAGCAAGAACTTGTTAGATATCCCATTTAATAACGTTACACTTCGATTTGATGACGACAACATTATTTGCCGGATTTCAATAACTTGCTCAGTGAGCGTTTCAAGGTTATTGGTGTGGTCACACTTCATTGGTGACTAGTGGTGCTTAAAGTTTAACTAGGTCTCAATAGTGATTAGTACAGTAGGCTCGAGAATAGATATTATGACCGAAACTACGACCTAGTAGACAATGAGCGATTACTAACTTCATGCGCTGGCTAACCCGTTCTAATCGCACGTTAACAATAACTCCACTGGCACGCAAAGACAAAAGAAAAGACTGCACGTCGATGAGAGAGCTTACACTGTGTTTCAAGGAACAGTCAAAATGCTAGACAGAAACTCTGTACACATATACAGTTGACATGACCTTGGAAATGCAGCAATTTAGTAATGCATTAAAGGTATTAACAGCCAACAGGAATCCAGCGACTTAGACAGAGGGAAAAAGGAAGGACTCACGCCAGTGCACGATAACTCCTTAAAATAGTTATTTTAAGGTTTTAGGCACAACTAGGTGTATAAACCAATGGAATAGGTAGGAAATTTGTTAACGCAAACTGCCAATTATATTAACAGTCGTATCAAGATCCTCAGTAAATTTTCCTATCAATTAATAAAGCCACGTTGATGGTGCATATTTCATCTCTCTGTATAAGATTCACGTATTACACGTAGGCAAGTTGCAAATGATTCTATGAATTATCTCACTCGGCGACAAAAATATTTTAGAACTATTCTGTCAAATCTTGACGACAGTTCATTTGAATGATTATAGAAAGTATTGGTTTGGTAGGGATTTTGTTTAATTGCATGGAGGATTTCATCATGAGCTGACATCAGTTAAAGAATCACTGGAAAACCTGGGAGTACTGGACAACTGTTTCGTCCTAGTTTGGGACTCTTCATCGGTACGCGCCCACCAGGATTCGAACCCAGGACCTTCTGGTTACAAGGCGAGCTCGTAGACTGATGTCAGCTCATGATGAAATCCACCATGCAATCAAACAAAATCCCTAGCAAACCAATACTTGAAAATTAATCTGATGCTCACTAGTGACTGGCCCTATTCAGGCAGTTAACCTGGGGTTCTAGTGGGAGGCCGTGACCAGTAGGGTACAACAGGTTGAAGATGAGGCAGTAACTCATCGAAGAAGACATTGCGAAATGGTCGCGCTATGTCGTGAATTGGCAGAAGTTAGAATTCAAGGACCATTGGATCGGGTCACAGTGGCTCAATGGTCTACGAGCTCGCCTCGTAACCAGAAGGTCCTGGGTTCGAATCCTGGTGGGCGCGTACCGATGAAGAGTCCCAAACTAGGGTGAAAAGCTGTCCAATTCCCCCAGGTTTTGCAGTGGTTCTCTAACTGATATCAGCTCATGATGAAATCCTCCATGCGATTATAGAAAGCTTAAAAAAATGAGCAATCTCTCAAAATATTTGGCTTTCATATTCGAATAATGATTATCCGTATATCTAGCTGATTATTGGAAGACTTCACTTGATACGTTTTAAGTTAGGTTTCCAATGGACTAATTTGCTCAATGTTTCATTTGTAGTGACGTTATAAAGTCACTGTCAATAAAAGCATCAAAAGACACTTCGTCAGTAGTAACCCTTGGCTCCAACAGGGGCCGCCGATGACACTGATTGGTGGTTGAGTCAGATATTACAAATTGTTAGAAGGTCGAATCTATAGGTCATTAGATTCCATCCTAGTATCTGGGTGGTTATCAGGCTATTCTCGTAACTTGATAGTCATAGGTTCAATCTATGGTGAGTTCACAGGTGAATTCTGCTGAAAGAGCTTCAAACTTGGATGAGATAGATGGATAGTACTCCCTAGTTTTCAAT